CGGTGTCGATGTTGTCATCTATCCGGCCGGAATAAGGCAGCATTGCCGTAGCACCGCGGGATGTTTGTTCGGACCGCTTTTGTGCACCGTAGGTTCGGCCGAGCGCCTCTCGTTTTAAGAGGAGCGCCCACCGTTCCACCTTTCTCGTTATTATCATAGTAGCAGGGGCTGCAGTGCATGCGCCGGTTTGCACGTATCCCGTGCTCGTCAAGGAACCGTACACCAACGATAGGCGCCACGTCCTCGTCGTCGTCTCGAGGCACGACCGGTTAAGGGCATTTCACAACGATCACAGAGAAAAACGGGACGGATAGAGGGAACACGGATCAGGACCGAAAGAAACGAGATATACGCGCGTGTATATATATATATTATATGTATATGTATAAGCAGATTTCGCAAGAAATTGGTGGACAAAAGGTGAGAAAAGAAAAGGATGTAAAACAAGAGAAAGAGAACGGAGGGAAAAGGAAAAAGGAAGAACAAAGGTATAAAGGATATGGGGAAGGATAAATAACACACACCACGAATAAAATCAACGAGTACTATTCCAAACAGAACGATTCAGTTCACTAGTGCCTCTTTCTCTGTTTTGGTCGCGACGTCCCGTCCTTACACGTTGTTTCTTTGATTGTTGATGATATTACGGTATGAAATACGATATTATACTGTGGCCACGGACGTGTGCGGTATTCCGGGTGCACTACCACATTAATGCGATGAAACGTTGTTGCGAACGTACGCGGACTGCTCGACGTCGAGCACTGTGCGGACGGAGACGCCTCCGACACGCCGCCGCCATCTTGCTACGTCAAGCAAATGGCATAGCGCCGGCGTGGTATCGTCGGAAACCTACGAACGTCACCGACGTTGTACGATCGTTTCGACGAACGACCACGAATCAACCACCCTTTTCGGCTGTTCTCGCGGAACTGTCGTGCATTTCGCTTCGATTGTTTTCTCATTTCTAATTCGACGTTACTGTCGACGATTGCACGCTCGATTGACGTTCAGTCAACTTCCTTTTCAAATCTTTCTGGATATTTTATCGTTTCTTTTATCGTTTTGATTAAAATTTCTCTTCTTTTTTTTATTTTTATTTTTTTTTTATTGCTTGTGCAATGTATTATACATTCGCATATAACGTATTAATTATTGTGATAAATATCGTGTCCTAAAGAGTTCAAATGTTTTTCGCGTATAAAACGTGATCGTATCTCAACATGATCTCAATATATATGAGAAATTGATTAAGCATAATACAAGTACGAATTGAAAATCTGTATTTTTAATAAGTTTTTTCATTTTCTACTCAAATACGTTTATTTCTCAATTACAAACTAAAACTACTATTTCTTTTATTATATTTAATTATAAATTAATTATCCATTTTATCTATTAATTTTATATATTTAGAATTGATCATCTTTTTTTATAGATATACTGATAAATTCATATCTGTATTAACTATATTTAGCAATATTAGCTAAATATATTTTTATATTCAAAAAATTATTTTATTAAAATGATATTTAAATACATATATTTATAGATACATAATATTAATAGTATAACATTAATATTAATAAAATAATATTAACACTATAAACTCAAGATCGAAACTACGCATTTTAGGTTAGAAAATTGGTTCGTTTGAATGGTTACACGTGAAGTCTTGTTTCTCGCGTGAGAAGCAACTATAATATAAAGTTGAACGAGCTAGAAGACATGCAATGTCTAAAATTTGCTGTTCTTGCGAATCACATCCGAAATAGAGCAATATAACATTCGACTGACTAATAACATTCTCAATATAATCGTAATTCAAAATATTTGAATAATGATATTTAATAATTTTTTTTCAATTAATCGATGATATTTTTCAATTCTTTATAGAATCTGATTCAATTGATAATTTATAGGCAAAATTAAGCAAAATAATAATATGGAAGTATCAATAATGGGTTCATTACTTCCAAGCTAGCACCAAATACTGACTTGTACCACTGAGAAATCGTTTCCCTTGTTCCACGATAATACTACTTGTTCACGTCCTCTATGCAGCAATACAATTGATATGGAGATACGTCTACATATTTCAAAAAATTTATTTAACTTTATTGAATTCTATATTCAATATTCATAAATAAATAAATTTTAGAATAATATAATCATTATTAAGATAATATATATATAATAATATAATAAAACAATAAAACTAATGAATTATAACAATTTGTTAAATAATTTTTTATTAAATAAATTAATATGATATAAAATAATATAAATTTAATAAAATTTTAATGTATAATATTTATAATATTAATAAATAATTTAAATTATTATCTTTTAATATTTCTTCTCCTGTAATTCTTATAATTCTATATCTAGACAATGATCATCCAACTAAATACGAATCGTGTACGAGTTCAGTATATAAATATATCAGAAGTTATATAACAGTTTTGTTGGACCGTGTAACTTGAACCGAGAAAAATATTTCTGAAAAGTAGCCGATATTCGGTCGAGAGAAAGCGGAACTTCTGTGGCTCACTTTCAATGCGTTGTGTTAGTAGTCGTCTTACTCGTTTCAGGCATCACACAAAAACCATTTTACTTAAATCTTTTCTCAATTCCAACTCAACATCTGATCATACGCCCACATTTACTATCCTAAGTGACGTAAGAATGACGTAATATACAAACGTTATTCCTGTCATTCCATATGCCACTTAAAAACATTTTATTTCTATCTCTTTTTTACGTCATTCATTATATAGAATAATATGCATGATTACAAATATCCTATGCACATTAATATATGATTTTTTATTCAAAAAAAACTTTTCAGATTTACTTTTTCTACTATAACGATAACATCAGAAAAGAACATATATAAGTCGATAGATTAAATCAATACTTATATTAAAATGCAATTTAAGAATGTATTTCTTCTTTTTTTAATAAAATACAAGAAAAAATGATTATAGAAATATTAATAGAGATAATTTATAATTTAACTTACGTATTATATTATAACAAATTATAATTATAAGAAATTGCACAAAGAAATTTATCAATATTCGAAACACGTTCCAAGTAGTCTTCCATCAGACTGAAACTTGTGATAGAAATCGCACTTCGTTCATTTTCTTCATCTAACTTGACGAAACTTTGCCAACGAAGTTTCTTTTACTGATTTTCTTAGGTCCCATTGTGATACATTCTTCTTTACCTGAATGGGTTATTCGAATCGTTATAGCCTTATTTAGTAATTTGTTAATGGCTATACGCAGCGTTCGATAATTCCTAAGATAGAACTGTTCTATACCTACAATAAAAAATTTAAAATTTCAATTGATTTCATAAAATTGAAATACGAAAAGATATAATAAGATGATGAAATTCAGACTAAAAATATTCGTCTAAAAAATATATGTCAATATGATTGTAATGATTAAATATAAATGTCCGCCCACATGCGGACAAATATATGAGATGTGAGGATATTCGATAGCACTGATAAGAAAAATTATTTATATATAGACATATTTAAATATAACCTTCGATAAACGAATTAAAATTCTATTTTAATAAAAAATGTTTCATAGACATTAAAAACAATGAATTAAAAAATTTTTAATTTTTTAATTTTTACAAGTAAAAAAAAAACATTAAGGTGATAGATAAATATGATAGATATCTGATAAATTGATAAACTAATAAAACTATAAAGAACTATAAAAAATGTCGAAATAATAATAATTTAATAATAATCTCAAAGAATTTCATTTCAAAGATTGATCATAATACGCATTAATATATTCATATACTAAATATAATTCAATTTGTTTTAAAAATTTTTAATAATTCTAATCCTTCTGAATTACATTCAACCATCTAACCTACACAAATCCTCTCTGACCCATGCAAAATTGCTAACACAATTCCGGATACATACCACGGTACTAGGAGACATCTAAAATCACTAGAATCTATTTAATCGTAATTGCGTTATTTCATGTGTACCGAATTCTTATACATAAGTTAAATATTAAATTAGAGATTAAATTTTACATATGAACAACAATCAACATAATACTGGTCATGGAAACCAGTGATACCATCAATAATTTAATTCACACAATAATGGTTAAAAGCATTTGGATTCATGTAATGTTGCACAAGATCAATATTTCAGAATTATGGAAATGAGCCAAAATAACACCATAATCCTGTTGTTATCATGTTTCTTTATAGTCAAATAGCGGAGATAATCTTCGAAGCCACATCATGTATTACAATTTCAAGCGTCTTTTTAGAATTCTAGATTTTGTATCTTATATCGTTTACCGCTGAAATCCAGATCCTTTAGTCTAAAAGAGGTTAGAATAGATAGAATAGGTTCTATAAGCCACTGATACTGTATTTTGTTCTCTACGTATTGAGTACGAAGCCTTCGATATTGAGTTTAACGATCTTAAGGTTCTCAATACTGACTTCAATGGATTTTCTCTTTTTCTTCAATACATTTTATAAGCATTGAATTTAAAACATTTTATATTTTATTTCACTTTTATTTCAAATTTAATTTTCTAAAAAAAAAAAAATAATTAGAATAAACGTTTAAATTATCAGAAATATTTAAGTTCATATATAGTTTCAAATTTTTTATACATATTTTCACTAATTTATTTATATATTTTATATATCTTACCTTGTATCTTTTATAATTTAGTAGTAGTAATAATAATCGTTGATCGTTAATCTTATGTCATTCATTTTCACTACAACATAAATCTTAATGTTATTATTTATATATATATAATATTTATTAGTATTATTAACTAAATATTATATACTGTTAATATTTGATTTATAATATATAAATTAATCTATTAAGGAATGCAAAATATGCTAGTGGTTGCAACTGTATTGATTAGTGAGGCAGTTAGTTTCGTTAATGTAGACACGAAGAGAACGCCAGTACCGAAATTCTATGTTACACATCATCCATTAATTGTATATGTATTACATTCCATTACTATATTCCTAGATATCTATCGCAATGAGAGAATCAGTCACTAACTATGACGTCTATCCATCATTGATCGACATTGAATTATCCTCAAAACAAAAGATTTATTACTATACAAAATATCTTTGTTATTTTAAATAACAAAAGTTATCAAGAAATTATTTTTATATGTATAGAAATATCTAAAAAATCACATTTTTAATGATTTACATTGTGCATATACAAATTTTAATTGTCTAAACAAAGTAATATTTTAAAAAAGATATGAACAATTACTAAATTCAAAAAAATGAAATATTTTTATAATAAATGTATATTTGTTATATTTTTTATTAATAATTTGTTACCTATAAATTAATTTTTTATTATATTATTGGCATGCATACGTCAAGGAAACTTTATGCACATTAATTATATATAACTATCTTTAAGCTTATCCTATAGTAAATTCAGCACAAATACACGGATAACTAATAATGGTGTACCATAT